ATAAATTGAGACCGGGCTTGCCAAGACTTAGGCCGTGTCAACTCCTTAGGGCATTTTCAGGGAGAGGGGCTTTGGAGGGGAGGTGAGAACCCACTTATTGTATAAGGGGCGTAATTATGCTGCCTTACCAGCTTATGTTAGTGCTGGTTTCTTGACGTTTCAAAGACAAATGCAACGGATCGAAGTAGAAGGTTTGGTGGATTCATTCTGTGGGTGGACGAAATCGGCTTGGGCAAACCCTGGTTTCTCTGATTCGCCTGTAAATACCAGCCAGCGTTATGGTGCAACCATTGTTTCAAAGTGGTCCAGGGCCAAGGTCCATCCATAGAAGGGGGGGGTGTGGACTGACCGCTATTGTAGTTGGATCTTTAGACTTTAACTTTTTAGGAATCAAGGAGTTTTCACTAAACCCCAACAAGTAAAACTTTTTTGCCGGGGGGTCAACAGCAACCAATTTTCCTTCGGTTTTGTGGATGCCCTCTTGGAAGGATTTATGGCAGCATGCCCAACATGGCACAAAGCCAGCAGTCGGCAGGCTGAAGTGAGTGATCGCGGCGATCCGGGGTGACTCTGGGTGAGTCGGGGGTTGCCAGGGTGAAGGGGCAGAAGGCATGTTCAAATCTCTGCTGCATTTTACTTGGAGGTTAGGACTTTCACTTTTTGATCCAACTCATGGGTTTTCCGTATTAAACCACTAAAAGTTAAGCTTTTAGCAGGGGAGCAGAAAGCAACCGAGGAATGAGTCACTTGCTCAAAACCCGGGTAGTTGAAGGGGAAGGGACAATGCCCTTGCCATAACTGGGTGCCGCCGGCTTTTTACTTGGTTCTGGGTAGACCATTTTAATACTAGGTTTTGATTATGACTCAAATGAGCCTGAATGTTCAAGTTGGACATCATGTAATGCAATTTTAGGTGGGGTTGCTTTTCCGGCCACTTTTGCGCAGGTTCCCTATTTCCCGTCTCGGTCGCTCGGCGAGAGATGCCTTTGCCCGCTTCGCCCTGGCTTGTTCAGTTTGCAGCCAACATGCGGGGGGTCGCGAAGCCAAAATGTGCCGAGGCTCGAGGGATTCAAAATTCAAGAAATTGCTAGCCATTTCCGTTGGAAATGGCTCGCGGGGCCATCTCCACAACCCCAAAGGTTGGTAATTATTCTGGTTAGCCGAGTGTTTTTGTTGGTTGTTAAGGGGAAACCCAAAAGTCAAGGGCTTGATTCCCCCTTCTTTTCAGCCATCGTTCTTGTCAAAAACTGATCGCCATGTCCCTAGGATTTTTGGTGGTTCCCTAGAAAGATTCGGATCCTTGGGTTCAGAATGGAAAACGAAGTTACCCCTCGAAAGTTGCTTGAGAAATCACACCCCTGGCATGGGCCATAGAAGGGTAAACCTCAAGGGTGCGAAGAGGAGGTGAATGAGCGTGTTCTTGGCTTTGCGTCTTTTGTTTTTTTCTAGTTGTGGGGGGACAGGCCGGACAACTCCTGCCGCACAACTCCTGTGCTGTACCCAAAAAATCAACCGGTGTAGATGGTAAGTCTTCGAAGTCGTGCAGTTCTTTTCCGCCTGATCTTTCACTGTAGAGACCTTAGATTCCTCTTGGGCCGCTTTCTACACATACACAAAGTGATCATGTTGGAGCCTCAAAAATACCCTCTTGGTGATAGCCGCCAAAATGTTTGGGGAAATTCCGCTTTTTGAGGGCAGTTTGAGGGTGTCGGATGGCGCGCGTGTGGGGACCTGCTCCTAGTGTTCAGGGATTCCGCCTTTTCTTTCTGCGACCTGATTGCTTGCATAGGTTAGGTCCCCCAGTAGTGCCCTTTCTCACCCCTTTTTTGGTTGGGAGAGTTCCCCTACTAAAATAGACTACAGAAAGAAAAAAAGGGTACCCTTATTCTAACCTCTCTATTGGAGGACCTAGTAGAGGTCTGACTCTTGGGGGGGAATCAGGACATATCAGGACCTCGCCGGAACCAGGGGGACAGCGAAACTCAAGGTGTCGGAAGGAGCGCCCCACGTGTCGGAAGTGTTGCATGCTGTGTGTTTGTGGCTGCCAGACCAATATAACCAAGGCCCCTGGTTTTTACGGTTCTTTATTTTGCCTTGGGGGGGGGGGAAACCAAGGCCCCTAATTTTTACGGTTCTTTATTTTGCCAGGCCCCTAATTTTTACGGTTTTGGGGGGGGGGGGGGAAACCAAGGTCTTTATTTTGCCAGGCCCCTAATTTTTACGGTTCTTTATTTTGCCTTGGGGGGGGTCCCTTCAGAAAGGACAACATGTCCAAACCAGGACCCCAAAACGTCGGGTTCATGTGAATTGGTGGGAGGGTAGGCGCTCACAAGGCCTTTCTCAGGCCTTTTGTTGCGCTTGCAGATGTTTTGGGGGCCTTTCACGCAGCGTTGGGCCTCAAAGGGACACACAGCAGCTGACAAGCCAAAGCCCATGAAGCACAGACGGGGAGCCTGATTCGTCCCCGAGTTGCACGCTTCTTCTTGGCACAGCGAGCCGCCAGCTCGCAGCTGCTTGGTTGCAGAAATGAACAGGACCCAGTTGTTCAGGGCACCCTCGCAATTGAAAGTGGATGTTGGACAATGCCCCCATCTGGGGTTCTTCATCCTGGTCACTTACAGGCAGACGGACATTTTATCATCTTTATTGTGGTGGCTTCGCGCTAAATATTGTGAACGCCAAAAAGCAAGTTCCTGTCTCCAGAGCCCTGGAAGTCGCAATCATCACATTGACCAGTGCCCAAACCCCCCCTTGACAGTAGCAAGTGAAAATATTGCCTGACTTTCATTTGCTGGTCGTTTTTTGGGGTAAAAGGGAATCGATGCACTACGGGGCACATACTTTTCTCTATGTTTGCCCTGGGGGATATTGGCAAATGGAAGCTTTGGCTGTGCCAACCCGAGCCATCTTGGCAGCAACAGTCAGTATAGGTTTCCAGCACTCCCTAGGTTGGGTCCCGGTGAATCATGACAATTCACCCAGAGTGTGAATTGTTTTAAGGGACCCCCAAAATGGCTTCGAACACAAAGTTAAAGTCTAAAGGTTCGTTACCCCATAGGAAACCAAGACACAATCAAATTCGAACATATGGGTGTGTCCTTTTTTAGAGTAATTGCACCTGTTGTTTGGTTTGGTTTGGTGGTCTTGAAGGGAACCGAAAGGAACAACGAACCTACAAAAAGTGAACAACTTTTGCAGATTGGAAAACAGCAACCAAGGTGGTTGCTTTTGGTTTTGTGCACTTTCGCGTTCGACCTGTTCCTTGCACTTTGGCCGAGTAAGCCTGCAATGGAAACTGTCATCTACTGGCTGATTTTTGGCTGATTCTCCATTCTTGACAAACATTTTTTTCAATCCAGCTGATGTGGAAGAAAACCACATGCTTTGTGGGTTTTCCAGGAGAACCAGCAAGGAATTATTGAGTTCCTTACCTTTCTGCACCCGAACTGAGCGGGCAAACATATTGAACTTTCCCTACCGCACGGGGACGGAGTTGTTGAACCCGAGAGCCTTTGCGTGGGGTGGGGGATGGTGGGGGGGGGGCGGGGTAGCACTTGCGTGTTCAGCAAGATCTAATCCTGTGACTTCAAGTCAAATCTGAGTGGCACACAGCTGAACGGTTCTTGCCAATAATTTTCCGACGGCTGGCTTCAACGGCTCAATACAGCTGGGGTTGCCCAGGTTTTAGCCTTTGTTTCTATATACCACAAACTGCCACGTTTGTTAATTACCACTTTTTGGAGCCACTGCTAATTTGTACTTTGCACGTTTGTTCAAAGTGTTCAAGGTTGTTTAGCGCTGGCCGGTCAGCTGCAGGGGTGTGCTGAATATTGTCACTTGACCTATTTAAGCATGGGTGTTAAGTTTTGGGCGCCGCCCGTTACAGCTTAATCAGCTGCCAGCAATGAATCACTTGTTCGGAAGATCTGCCGCCTAAAGACACTGGTTCAACGAGAGGCCTTTCAGTACTTGCGGGTCAATTACGCCACTTCCGACTTGGGCACAACAAGCTCTGTCTGAAAGCCTGTTGCTTCAAGATGGTGTTATTTTTCGCGTTCTCGGAACGGCACCAAGGCAACAGTGCCTCCAGTTGAATACTGAAAAAGGGCTCGCCTGTTTGGACGCCCTGTTCAGCCGGACATTTCAAGGCCTTCTGCTTTTGATGCTTCGCACAACCCAAAGGTTGGGTTTTGTTACTTTGTGGGTCCACGAAGGCTCACCTAGTGAGGTGTTTTTGTTTCAGGTTTGTGAAACTAGTTTGGCTTCGAGGAGGGTTGTTTGGGCCAATCAACTCGATGGGAAGTGAACTCTTCTGAGTACCCCCCACACACACACACACCCACAAATGGAGGGTCCAATGATACGGAGGCCATTTTAGTGGCCAAGCAAAAGTGTTCAGACACTTTTTGCTGGCTTTGACTCAATTGAGTCAAAGGAGCTGGAGAAGCTGGGGTGGCTGCCTTATAACTTACAACCACGCTTGCAACCCTTGCTTGCTGATGCGATAGGTAGGGAATAACCGAGTCCGGGTTTTGGGAATGAAAAGGTTTTGGAGATTCCCAAATACTGGAATCCAAATCGGGGGATGGCTTATCTCGGGGTCGATCCACTACTGTACTCAGCAAGGAAGACCCAAGGGCCTTTTGGGTTTGGACCAATTTAGTGGTATAAACAATCAGTTTACACCAAGTTTCTGGGGGTAACTTCCCCATTCTTTCCAGGGATCCTTCTTTCCTGGACGAAATATTCAATCCCTTATGACATTTCAACACTGAGATCTGGGGTGGGGGGTGCACAAAAGATGCCTTATGTCGGGTGTTTGAACATGTGGTCTATCTACATCTGTAGATGGACGAAATATTCAAAGCCTTGAATATGAATCTATATGCCTCCCCACCCCCAAATCTACTAAAAGCGCTACTGAATGCACTCGATCGGAAGCAAAGTGGTCGACCAGTGAGGCCATGCCGGGCTCCATGTCGCCGGCCGGCGTACTGCTCATGGAGGCAGGGGAACGGATCGCCCATAAGTTAGCTGCGGCGAGGGTTTCCCCCCATGACTTCGCAGATCCGGAGGTTTGATGTGAAATTTGGCGCATGTGGCCAAGGGATGTTGGGACTTGAACCTTTTTTTCCGCCAACTTACGGGTTTTCCAATTAAAACAGTAAAGGTTAAACTTTTAGCAGGGGAGCAGAAAGCAACCGAGTGAAGAGGACGCCAAAAAAGACAACCAGAAAGAAGGGGGGTGGTCAAAATGAGGGCCTTCATGATGGTTGGTCTCCTCTTGGTTTCCTCTTCACAAGCCACAAAAGCGAGGCCTAGTTTGAACACCCATACAATGTCCGTACCAAAAGGGAGCCGCCCTAAAAGGGCACCAGCCCCAAGTTGGCATCGCTTGGAATCGGATGGGGGTGGTTTCACTGGGCTTTCCAAAGTTTGTTCCTTCAAGGTAAAACTCCCATAAACAAACCTGGACCAAGGGGGAAACCAAAAGCATATTCGGATATTGTCGATTCGGCTTCTGAGTGGTTGAACTTGGCCACAGAAAATCATCTTAAGATTAAGAGCTTCTTTTCTTCTCACTTCCTGAGTTGATGGGCCAACAAAAGTTTGAACTTTCTGTTCACCACTAAAATGGTCTTCCCAAAAAGTTTAAAGTCCAGGAACTCGGGGAGTCCCCAAAAGGTGATCTCACCTTGTATTTCCAGGTTTTCTGTGGGGGTGGGGGAAAGGGGGAAAGGGGCAAATCACAGGGTTTTGGTTGGCAGATGATCTCTGTGAGATTTATATATTTCTCATAATTTCGTTGATCGTTTTCTACGCCTTTTGTTCCCTCCTTACAGCCTCCAATTCCGCTTTCTTTAGACATGGAATTGGGAAGGGGGGTGGGGGCCTAGCTGGCTCACCACTGGAGATCTGGAAGCTTGGGGAATCTTTGAGAGTTCAGCCTGGACGTCCGTTGCCTCTTTTTGTTGTGCTTAGCGAGCAAATCCATGAACCCGTTGGTGACTTCAGAATAAAAGCTCCCCTTTTTGCTTTTTGCTTTTGTTGGGTTTTTTTTTTGTTTCCCACTAAGGCAAAAAGGATCTATTTGTTTTGCGGTCCGATTTGTCCAGCCGTGGAGCTCCGAATATGCCAAGTGAGCAAGAGCATCGCTTCGGATTCGGGTTTGCCAGTTTGCCAGCTGGGCGCGAAATCGAACATTTTTGTGGGTCTTCCCTTTGGTTTCAGCCCATGTTCGGAGTTTGGTGAAAATTTGCCCCCCGTTTTCAGTGGCACCCACTTTCGCCTTTTGTTTGGTCATGTTTCGTAGGCAAGACCATTATTTGAAGGGTTTGCCTTTTTTTCGGTCAGGGTGACTGGAAAACTGGGTTGCAGCCAGCGCAAGTTGGGCCCCTGTTGGGCCCCTGTTGGTGACTTTTGCGCTGGGCTCTGTTTGGGGTGAGAGGTTTGCTCCTTTCAGTCCCTCTGAGCGGAGTCTGTGCCCTAGATGTTCCACCCACAGGCAAGCAATCAAGGCACTTGTTGAGAACCAAGAGGCCCGGACATGGGTGAGGCTGTTTTCAAGGTAGCTTGACAATACGCTTGGAACTGCATCATGCACCTTCTGCAAAGTCCTGGCATTCCCTGGCTGGCTTTCAGGGATGAGCAGATCAGAAAATGCATTAGGCAGGATTGCCAAGCAGTTGCTTCTTACCATTGTGCGGATTTTTATGGGTGCAGTGCCCTTGCTCCCTGTCCAAGAAGAAGTTTGCCTTCATCAAAGGGAGCCCTTTTTGTCATGTCCTTTGGGTCAGCGAATCCATGCCTTTGCATTTGGAGTGCCACGCCCTCTGCTACAAGCTTGGTGGACCTTGACTGACATTGAGAGGAAGTCTGGCCCGAAAAACCGCCAAAGTTGCAGGTCGGCGCCCTCCTGAGTGGATTTTGTTTCTCCTAGCCATTTGGAGGAACGAAAGGCTGCCCAAAGAGCTCTGTCCGGACATTTCATCAAGAAGCATCGATCCTGGGAACCGCCCAGGACACGCTGAATAGGATGATCTACAAGGATGGCGCCTCGACATAATGCAGTCGCATGACTGATAGTCTTGCTGGTTCTCAGCAGGGAACGAGGGAATGACTCCTATAAATTATCTCCTTCAAGGCAAGGCCCAGGTTCATTCCCAGCACCTTGGTCATTCCCTCCTGAGCACCAGCAAGCAATCCCCCTCCGCTCACAAGGTCGACAAGGTGTCCGGATTTTGGAGGGCCCCCTTAGTCTAATCCAGCCAGTCCTCTGCCAACAGGTCTGCAACAGGAAAGCAAAGGGATGATGGGGGGGTGGGGGCCGGCCTTGAAGGGGGCTACCCTTGACGATCTTGTCAAACCTTGTTTTTGTGTTGTACACACATTGTAATCAGACATTTACAGTTTCCGGCTAGCCTTAAAAAAACATAATTCTGGAATGGCAACCCTTGAGACTGGGAAATGAGGTGGTATTCGCAAAAGCCTGCGCAACAGCTTTGCATTTTGCAAATTACGCTCTTAAAGCATGCTGGCTAGGTCCCCCAGTAGTGCCCTTTACCCTTTTTTGGGGGAGGGTTCCCCGATTAAAACAGACTACAGAAAAAATCGGGCACCCTTATTCTAACCTCTCTACTGGAAGACGGATATCGTTGGATTTTGGACCGGGAAGGGACGTTTTTAATCAGAGGGGGCTCGGGGAAGCGCTAAAAGTTACGAGCCATTTTTTGGCCAAGCCAGCGCCTCTTAAGTCGTATCATACGGCTGGCCGTCGGCTGGAAACATCGGGCGTCTGGAATCAGAGGTCCAGGGGTTGATTCCCCATTCTTGTCAAACATCGTTCTTTTCAAAAACCAGCCGAATTCCATGGCTTCCTGGAGGGGAAAGTACCCCTACAAAAGGGGTTCAGTAATCAAGTCCCGACATGCCTTTTGCCGCCCCTCACGCGCCGGCGGTTGGATAGCGGTGTTTTATTGGGCGGCATGGTACCCTCTTCTCAGGCACCCCGACAGATTGGTGGCGGAGATCAAACCGACAGAAGAGGAAGCCCACAAAAGACCCCAGCCACGTAAGCGAAGGCGGAGATCTGAAAGTATCAATTTTGCGGCGGTGACAATTCTTTGGTGCATTTTGCCAAGGGATGTTAGGACTTTAACTTTTTGCCAACTAATGGGTTTTCCGTATTAAACCACTAAAAGTTAAACTTTTAGCAGGGGAGCAGAAAGCAACCGAGAATTTGTTCCTGCAGTGTTACACCAATTGTGAATCCAAAGTTCTTCTCCGGGCGTGATTCTAGGCAGTTCGAATTCGCAGCGGCTCGGCCATTCGAGCTTTCTGAGCTTGGGGCTGAATTTCCGTAGAGAGCTGAAAGACCCTGCCGAATTGGCTTTAGCTGCTAGGAAGCAACACGGACCCATGATCCACTCTTGATTTTCTTTTTTGGGCCCGGATCATAATATGGCTGTGGCTCAAAAAAGTGGTACCAAATGGCACCTTGGTAAATGGAACCAAACACTAAAACCCGCGTAACCCAGCTTTTTTTTAAAATTTTGAGCCATACCCATATCTGTGGGCTGAATAATTGTCTGAGTCGAACATGATTGTCCGTTCTCACTCCGGCAATTGGGGACTTGCCAGTTCCCGCAGTCCGTACTTACTAAGAACCGGTGTTTTTTTTGCCTGGTGTTTCTTCATTTCAGCTTGTTTCCTGTTTGTGAATGTTCCCCATTCAATTTTGATAGCCCCCCCAAAAAAAAAACGAAGACGAAATAAGAATAAACAACAAGAACTAAACATCCAGAACTTGGCATCAAGAAAATACTTATGCGGCACTATGTTGTTTGAAGCTTAGTCAAGAAGTTGTTTCGTTGATGCAAATCCCGGAAGAAGGCGGGGGTCAGCTGCCAAAGAAGCCGGTCTGGCAGCGGCCCCAGAAGCATGGCCAAACATGTTGCCTCCAGGGGAACCCCGATTCAGGTTCCGGGCTGGGTGATGCCATAAGCGCTTTAAGAGTGTATGTTGATGTCGATGCTTAAGCAAAAACCATCGTGTTGTTTTGATTTGACGCTGCCGTGCTGCCCCCTGCCGGCCCTGCCGCCCCCCGTCTCAGGTTCCCGAAGCCTCCAGCGGCAGAAGGCGAAAGGCCTCCTGCCGCGGGGCTCACACTCGTACCGGCCTCAGCTCAGACCCTCATGGGTCCCTTGGACCCTTTTGCTTGGGGTCGATGGTCCATTCCTGGTGCTCAATTGCCAAAGAGGGCCCAGAAGTATCCAGAAACAACAGTGATCACCTGCTGGAGAAGCTTTCGGCTAGAAATGTAAATAAACTTCTTTATTTTCCTGGGGAGGCTTTGGGCTGATGTTGCTGATATGTCTGTGGCCCATTGGGAACATAGAGGACGAGTCTTGGACACAGTCAATCTTTCCGATGTCCGGAACGCATAGAGACCTCAGGGTCAGAAGCTCAACCGTTTGGAATTGTCACGTTGCTACCTCCCAGAGGCTCAGAACCCCCAAAGCATCCCACCTTTGCACCTTGTGGCATGGTTGTTGTTGGGAAACATTTTACATTTTTGCTTATTGTGGTTTAGTGGGAATTCCCAACTTACCTGCTAAAATTTATTTTTGTTGCTCCCCTTCCAACGTCAACCAGTCCCCTTGTGGATTTCCATTTTTGGTCCAGGTCCCAAAAGGTGATCACCTTTTACGGATGCTTTTGGCCAACTTGGAGCATTAATATGTTTCTTGGTGTTCAATGTTTTTTCAGGGCCGATTTTTTTTTTTGGGGGGGGGGGCGAAATTTAGGGGGGAGGGGGGGGGGAGCATCATCACCGTTTCGCGCGCGCTTTGCTGCAGATGCTTCGGGGACTTCCCCCCAGACCTGATGCCCGAGAGGCTCAGGCACGAAGCGATTCCATCCGGCCGTTCTGGGCCGTGCTTTTTGGGTTTGGACCGTGTTAATGTTGACCCCGGATCAATAAACCCCTGTGTTCTTTTTTTAGGGGTGTCTCTGGTTTTAGTGGGGAGTCAGACAGTTGTTCAGTGGCACCAATTCTTTTTCCCTTTTTTGGATGGCTGCTCCACTAAAAATTTGGCCTTCCCCAAAAAGGGTTCCCTGTTTTTCCATGTTGACCCCGGATTAATAGACCCCCGTTTATTCATATGGGGTTATGAAGGTGTCTCTGGTTTTAGTGGGGAGTCAGACCACTTTTGGAGGGGAACACGCCCATATGAATAAACAAGGGTTTATTAATCCGGGGTCAACATTCACGCAAATCAACCGGATCTGACCTTTGTGTTTTCCAGTTTGGGTTGGTGAGTGGTTCACACAACCATAACATATAGGTATAGTTGGGACTACTTTCTTGGTTGGCCCACTTGGGCAGGATATTCAGGTCGTCGGAAGGAACCGATAAGAGTCCAAACTAGAGAGCAGCATCAAGATGTGTCATCGAAGGCTACCTCGACCGGAGCCCTCCATACCTATCTTTGGAAGTTCGCAGTGTATCTTAAGGGTTTTTGTACTACGTGCTTGGATTACACCCAAAAATGAAGAAGATGGGTTGATGTGTGAGTGTAGTTCACCAAGATCTGTGTGTGTGTGTGTGTGTGTGTGTGTGTGTGTGTGTGTGTGTGTGTGTGTGTGTGTGTGTGTGTGTGTGTGTGTGTGTGTGTGTGTGTGTGTGTGTGTGTGTGTGTGTGTGTGTGTGTGTGTGTGTGTGTGTGTGTGTGTGTGTTTTTTTGCGGCCCCCCCTCCTAAACATGAAGAAGATGGGTTTCCTTTTGGTTTCCCCTTAAGACCCACCAACCAGGAAGAATCCTTAAACAGCGTTTGGGTTGAAGAGTTCTTTTGCTTCCCCAAGATTTACCTCTCGGCAAGAAACGTGGAAGTGCAACAGGGCCTCTGCCAAAAGCACCTGCCATGGTTGTTGGTGGCCGAGCTCTGTTTTTTCCTTTAAGTCAGCCTTTGGCAAAACCTGACAACATGTGAAGGATCCTAGGTGGATCAAGTTTCGAAGACTCAGGATGTGGGTGGCTTTTCCATTTTTTTGGGGACCCCCTCCCCCGAAAATTGTGACTTCCTTTGGGTGTCCCGTTTGGTGCAACGAACAATTTGGAGTACCAACATGTTCACCCTCTTAAAGCGGAGTTGGGGGAGGATCCGACTGGAAGTTCCCGCTTCCCAAACGCCAGGTCTCTCGCGCGGAGCCAGAGCGACTCCCGGGCCGGGGAGCTTGTCCAGTGACCAGCTCAAAGCTGGGGGTGTTGTATACCTGAGTCTTCCATTTGGTCACTTGGGCTCTGGGCGTTATTTTGCTCACGGAAAAAATCCAGGGAAAAAGTGCCCACGGAAGCTCCAGGTATAAGATTGGTTATAGGGTGTTCCCTCCAAAAGGTGTCTGACACCCCACTACAAAGATAGAAAACATTCTTCAGCCAGGGGTGTATGAACCTGGGGGATTAGGGGAGTAAATCGGAAAAGAGCCGGACTCGGGTGTTCCCTCCAAAAGCGGTTTGACGCCCCACTAGAAAGAAACACCCCCCCCCCCTCATGGGTTTCTGATCCTGGGCATTCCCAGCGGAGGAAATCGGAGGCAGGACTCAGAGCTGGGGGGTAGCAGGACTCGGAGCTACCAATGAAGTTCTGGTCAGGGACATGGTGGTCTCAGTCTCACTTACTTGACTGCCAAGCTTAGTAAGCAGAGATTTTATCAACTGGTGTCTGGTTTCCTGGGAGCACTTGCCTGGGAAGCACTCAATACTGGCCCGGTGCTGCCTCAGCAAGGCAACCAAAGCGAATCAACCTGATCAATCGACCTTTGAGTTTCCCATGTTTGGTCTCCCGTTTGTAGTGGGGATCACCTTCCATTTCCTCACTTCCTGAGTTCATGGACTTGAGTCACTTTTCGGGTTTGGAACATTTTAGCGGTAAAGCAAAAGTTCAGACTTGTTTTGGCCCGTCCACTCAGGCGGTGGTGAGTAACAATGAGAAAGCCACAAAGAGACCTTTCCATCGCTTCCTTTCTGTGTTTTTTGATTCACTGACTGGGAGAGGAAGATGCCATCCACAGCTAGCAATCCTTGACAATGCTGCATCAAGAAGTTTCTATCATGCCTTCCTTTCCATTCGTGTCTTTCACTGCTGTATCTTGGAATTTTAGAAACTCATGAATTATTTGCCTCCGAGCGAGACCAAGAGATAAGAAAATGAACGGTGAGACCCTTGACCCTTTCCATCATCACTTATTCATTTTAAAAGTTGACACCTGAACATGTATGAAATGAACAATTCCAGAAGTATAGATATGCGAGTGAAATGGTTTGAGGGTTCACCATTTCTTCTCTCAGCACTCATTCACTCCTTTCTTCCCCCACACCTCCAAAATAAAAAGAATTGGCTGCAAGGCTGGAGAGAGCGCAAGCAACAACGAAATCCTCACCTTCATTCGCACACCCAGTTCTGTCCTGACAATTTACTGCCCTCGACTTGCCTTCATGCACGTGCGTGCAAGTCATCCCTCATTCTCTCTCCTTCCCTCGTCCCGGCCGTTCCCATCCTATCCGTCCACGCCAAACAGCAGACAGGCGGTACCTTTGTCAACGATTTTTCCAGCATAGACACAGGTTCTTGACAGAAGTGCGCGTGCAAGCAAGGTCGTCCAAACCATGGGGGATCATTGGTATGATTGTCAAATGAGGAACTTTACTTGTCATAGCTTGTGCATTGCCCAAGCAATTATCAACCCGCAAGGGTTGGCAATGCGTCTTGGGCCTTTGCTCTAGCCTTCCTCTCCTTTTTTTGGAGGAGACCATCTTTGGTGCATTTGCTTGGATGTTAGGACTTGCACTTTTTGCCAACTAATGTGTTTTCCATTAAGCCACTCAAAGGTAGTCACTTTTAGCAGGGGAGAGAGCAACCGAGAGTTGATGGTGTCTCACCCACCAGAAAAATCTCGGAAACTTCTCGCGCGGTCGCCGCTGGCCACTCGAGGTGCGACCCCACTCTGCTGGAGCCACCGCTGCGGCCTGAGAGCTCTGGGACTTGGACTCGGACTCGGACCTTAGACAAGTAGTAGTGATAATGTTGACCCCAGATGAATAAACCCCTGTTTATTAATATGGGGGTCCCTCCAAAAGTGGTCTGACTCCCCACTAAAACCAGGGACACCCCCATATTAATAAACACGGGTGTATGTATATGTGTGTATGTATTATATATATATATATATACATTAGTTGGCGGTAAGCAAACAGTTTAGAGCTTTGGCCAATCTCAGGAAGTGAGATTTGCGTGTGTTTCCCCCTTTTTTGGTTTTTAAAGGGACGACTGGGATATGTTCTCCATTTGTTCCCGGCGCATTCACAAATGGAGGTCTTTGATTTGGTGGGACCCTTGCCAGACCTGTCTCACTTGAAGGCGGCCTCAACAAAAGCGCCGCAGCCCCCGCAAAAAAGGACATGGAAGACCAAGGGGGGGAGGCCCAAAAGGAGTTCCGCTACCAGTAGCTTGCTGCTTCCTTATTATGTTCATTTAAGTCGAGTCACATTGGCATCTAAATACTGCCCAAGAGGCAAATGGGCTTGGTTTGAGCTGCAAATGGGCTGCACAAAACAATGTTATTTGCAACCATGCAAGGGTTCTCAAGGACTTGTTGTTTGGGGTGGATGCTAGCGCACCTGCAGCTCGAACCAATCCGGCCCTCTCCCTGCAGAGACACTGCCCCATGCAGTTGTTTGTTGCCCGGGCTGTTTACCCCGCAATAACCTGCGCGTTTGCCGCCATGCGTCCATTTTTCTGAAATGAACACATCTTATTTTCCCTGTTTGGTTTAAAGCGAGTCTACTGTGGATGGACGAAAGTCCGTTCGCACCACCTAAGAAATCCTGTAATGATAATTCCCTTGCAAATACCAACAAACAGTATGGTTTCCTATCATTTCAAAGTGGTGCGAAATGGATTGCGCAACCTGGAAATGTTTTTCTCCAGGGGGCGACAACAAAAATGGGAGTGTGTCCCAGGCAGCTTGAAAAGCACAACCAAAACAGCTTGCCATCCATGAGCCAAGCTCACTCCCCGAGTTCTGTTGTGGATGGTTGATTTTCGTCACTTGGGTTTGGCTTTGCCATTTCAGTGACGAAAACAAAGACACCAAGCACGCCATTTGGCCGATCCACATGCCACTGGATCGGCTTGGTGGCTTCCAATCGTCCCCAAAGGGTTGGGTTTTTATCGCCTTTCTGTGTCTATTTGTCGTTTCCCCAAAGTTAACCCACAGGTTAAGGTCGACTTCATATTTTGTAAACGGGGTTTCTCCCCCGCTCTAACTGTTTTTTTGTTTTTGTTTTCTCTTTTTTTCGGGCAAGCTTAGGTTGACATTCAACTTTTAGCGGGGGATCTGAAAACGGGCAGCCCAGTTGGGACTCTGTGCAGATGGCCTGCACTTAGGTGCAGCATTCCCAGACTCGCACGCTCCCCAAGACCACTGCTCTGGCCTTAGAATGGCGATGGGAGGGTTCCAGCCCTGCGAACGGAATCGCTTCTTCAAAGCCATGAACTCAGCAATTCAAAGCCCACCTTTTGACCTTTAGGTGTTGCCATGTTTGGTCCATCTTTAGTCATGGCCCCCAAAGGTTATAGCCTTTTACTTGACTGCTATTGGGTTGGATCTTTCGACTTTAACTTTTGGTTGTCTACTACACCCCCAAAAAATGAAGCTTTTTGCAAGGGGGTCAACAGCAACCAAGTTTATGTCTGGGTCCTTTGGGCAACTGAGTGCATTTGACAACCCATTCTTATCCTAAGATGGAAGCGCAAAGCCTCGCTTTGCAAGATTTTGTTGTCTTTGGATGTCTTTGGAAAGAGGCCTGCGTGCTTCCATGTTTGCTGGTCGTGGGGAGGTAAAACTTGTTATTTGGGAGTTGACCAATATTCCGTTCGGGCCCAAAATGACCATGGGCAACTTTTCCCCATGTGGTGAAAGTCACTTTTTGGCGGTTGTCCTAATGGTCGCCCCATGTTCATTGGACCTTTTGCTCTCTTCGGACTTGCCAAGCCCTGGGAAGCTTGATTGGCAACTTCAATCAGCTGCCCCTTTCTAAGTGGGGCTTCATGTCCTCGTTGGGTAGGTCATTTTAGTGGTAAATCACATGTTTGAACATTGTTTGGCCACTCCACTTAGGAAGTGAGTTCTTGTTCTGTTCTGTTTTTGTTTGGATAAAACGAAAAGACGAACCAGCTGGTGTCGAACACCCTCAAAGCATAGAGGTTGAGCCAACAGATGAATCGTTCGTGTATTGGGAAATCGGATCTTCCGAGTTCCGCCCGCATCAGATTTCGGGGCTTTCGGGCTCGGCCAACGCCACTCTCCCTTCGGACCTTGAGCGTGATGCAGAAGTCCTTGAATTCTGGGAGTTGCTTCAAATCGATGATTCTTACCTCTAAGTTCCGTTTTGGACTGTAGCCACTTTTCGAGTGGGGACGTTTGAACCATGTTAGTGGTATCAATCAAAAGCTTAAGGACCTTTTGGGCCAATCCGCTGATCCACGTAATAGATTTTCCTGGGATGTTTCGGTTTGGGACCCGAAAACTCGGAATTTCAGGTTCGATTCGCAGTCGGGTCTTGGGTCCGTCGAAAAAACGAGCGATGCGGGGCGAAATCGGAGGTGCGACCCCAATCCGCTGGGGCGACCGCTCCGAGCTGAGAGAAAGGGCGGTTCCGGACACCAAGAAACCCGTTCTTGGTTGTTGTTGGGAAACGTTTTTGTTTTGTGTGTGTGTGTGGTGTTGTTGTGTTTTTTTGGTTAGTCGTTGTTTTTTTTTGTTCTTCTTTGCTTGTTGTGGTTTAGTGATTGAAATCCAGCCACTGGGCTGCTCAAATTTGATTTGTTGCTCCCCTTTCAACGTCAACCAAGCGTTGCCGGACAAAAAACATACGGTGGGTGGCTGCGAAATCCGCGAGGCTCGCACCACAAAAAACGAAACCATGGTTGAACACATACCGTTTGTTGGCATTTACAGCGGAATCATCACTCCAGGGTTTCTTAGTTGGTGCGAACGGATTTCGTCCATCCACAGTAATTAGGTGCCCTGTTTTAGGTTAGTTTGATTAAACATGAATGGCACTGGTTCAGATGGGTGTTGTTCCATTTACCAGGGCCATCTATTTTTCCAAAAGGCCGCCTATGGCACTGAAGAGACGCTGTTTGGGCTTGGACGTTTGGACGGTTTTAGTGGCACATACGAAGTTCGGACGTTTTTGGGCCGGAAGCGAGGACAGGGTGAGGACATGTGCCACAAGGTGGCTTGCTCCATAAACCGCAGGTTCAACAACTTTGCCATTTTTGGGTTACACAATCTGAGATCAATCTTGGGTTCCATAGATGCCGCTGAAACCTCGCTTCTTCTCCAAGCCACGCGTTCAAGCTTTCCGCCTTCGGGGTCTCAGTTGGGATGTCCTTCCCAAGAACTTCCGTGGGGCCAGGCCCTGGCCACCAGTATCTTGGTGGTTCCCAGCCATCCGGTTCCTTAGCTTCTTAGCCTTTTAGTGCTTGGTGGGGATTTCCATTTAACCCACTAGCAGTTTAGCGGGGGACCTGAGGAGAGCCCAGGTATGCAAGAGGCACCTTGGAAGATCTTCTAGAGAAGGCCTCCTCACCACTCCTGTTCCAATGTTCATTTGCAGGGGGGTGGGTTGTGAAAAAAGTTGCCCGGGAGGGGGAGAGGGGTTGCAAAAAATCACTGGAAGTGTGCCCCTTCATTTCCAAGCTCAACCGTGTTTTTTTTTCAGGTAGCACACCACCCAATCGGTTTTCGCACAACGAGCTCACCTGGTCAAACCAGCTCGCCCACACTGAAGCCCCCTTGAACGGTGTTTCTTATTTCTTGCTTGTGAATGCATTAATTCGGCTCACTCACTGAGTTCCTGGACTTCATACATTTTTGGTGCCACCAATTTCAGTGGCCACCAAAAAGTGTGGACCTGTTTCGGCCAGGCCGCTGTGAGTTGATAGATGTGGCTCCAAAGTCTGGGTGTTCCATTGGCAAGTTGTTTCATGGGAGGGGTTCACTCAAAATGGTTGGCCCCCCCTCTTGCCATTTTGGGGGCCTTCTGGATTTTGAAGGCCCGTTTGGTTGAGAGCCTTGAGAACCCCACCCCTCCCCCCCCCGCAAACAACTAGCAGTAACTGGCACAACACACGCATGAGAACCCTGAGAATCCTCAGAAAAACCACTCATTGAAGCACCACTACGTTCGGCCACCCACACCTCGGGTTTTCAGAGAGGCCACGGTGCGTGGCTCGAATTTCGAGTTTGGAAGGTGAGCCGTCCGGAGGTCACCGCCTTGAAGCTGCCGCGCGCCCAGGGTGCAAAACATGGTTGTGGTTGGGAACCATTTTGCATTTTTGCTTACTGTGGTTTAGCGGTTGGAATCTAACCACTGAACTGCTAGAATGAATCCCCACTCAACTGCCCAAATTTAAATTTTGCTCCCTGTCCAACGTCAACCAAGCAAATAGCTCCAAGCCACTACTCCTAATCTACGGTAACTCCGTGCTTCCATCTACCATCGTAACAGGTACCCAGGGGAAGCCCGTTTAAGAAACCGAAGGGACCTCCAGTATGGCTTCACGTGTCCTTTCGGTTCCCTTTAACCCCTCCCCCCCCCTCAAAAAACTAGACACCGATGATCCCGAAAGCGTGCATGAGAAAGGTGATGCAATAATGTTGGGGTATATCTATGATGTTATATATACACATATACACTGCTTCTCTCTCTCTTTATCTTTCTCTCTTGCTCTCTTGCTCTCTTTCTCTCTTTCTCTCTTTCTCTCTTTCTCTCTTTCTCTCTTTCTCTCTTTCTCTCTTTCTCTCTCTCCTCTCTCCCTCTCTCCGCCTCTCTCCCTCTCTCTCTCTCTCTCTCTCTCTCTCTCTCTCTCTTTTTCTTTCTTTATCTCTCTCTTTTTCTTTCTTTCTCTCTCTCTCTCTCTCTTTCTCTCTCTCTCTTTCTCTCTCTCTCTCTCTCTCTCTCTCCCTCCCTCCTTTTTTGCAAGCCGGAGCTGCGGTAGTGTACTTCGCGTACTACTTTTCTATCTAAAATTTGCGATTCTCAGGCCGGAGCTGCGGGAGCGTACTTCGCATGCTACTTTTCTACTTAAACTTGCCATTCTCAGGCCGGAGGTGCGGGAGCGCGCTTCGCATACTACTTTTGTACTTAATTTTAACGCAAACCACAGCGAGAGCTAAGTCAGGCTGCATCAGTCAGGCTGCGTCAGTCAGGCTGCGTAAGTCAGACTGCGTAAGTCAGGCTGCGTAAGTCAGGCTGCGTAAGTCAGGCTGCGCAAGTCAGGCTGCGTAAATCAGGCTGCGTGAGTCAGGCTGCGTAGGTCAGGCTGCGCAAGTCAGTTTGAGTAAGTCCCGCTGTGTAAGCTAGGCTGCTTGAGTCAGGCTGTGTAGTCGGCAACCGTTTTTTCCAAAGTACCCTTTGCGATGCTTTCGGGAAAAAACAGCAAGGTGTAGGTGTCTTGGTGTTTCTATTGCTTGCCGGTGCGAGAGATGCAGCGAAGGAGAATTGGAATGACCCCGAACTAAAGCATCCCCGATTTGGTTTCCTTTATTCGGGAATCCTTTTTGGGTTCATTCCCTCAATCCTGGAGCACCAGCAAGAAATAGAAACCCTCAGTTTTGATGGATATTGTGTAACGAATCTCCAGACGTTAGCTGTTTGGTGGAAATCAATTTGGCTTTCCATCGAACAAAGCGAAGACCTTTTTGCCCAGGGGGCCCTTACCAAGTAATATGGTGAATTTCCAACCAAGAAACCACAGGGGGGTTGTAACTTTTGAATTTGTCCAGACCTCCAATCGTTGAAGCTTTGTCTTGCTGAGGCCCCAATTAGGACTGAACAACTGTTTGATCCAACTAATGAGTTTTCCGTATTAAACCACTAAAAGTTAAACTTTAGCAGGGGAGCAGAAAGCAACCGAGTTTTTGTCTTTTTACGGCTGAGTGCTACATGGGTGTTAGGAATAGGGGAACCCCAAATTGGTGGGTTTTCCCTTTGGTTTTCCTGCAAAGCATCCCAAAAAAGAACAGGCCCAAATGGAGTGTCTTTTTTGAAGGTAGATGTGGTTACATTAAAGTAAAACAAGCCCTTCCAGGGTAAAACAATACACCCAAGTAGCCCAAGAACCAAGCGGAGATGGCTCATGCTTTCATTGATCGAAACCTCCGATCTCTGGCACCGGTGGATGCAAACTCGATATAGCAAGCCCTGCCTCGGCCCAAACTCGAGAGCCTATCTGGGCAGAGATCCCGTAGCTTGCAGCTGTTGGGGATTAAGGAAAACACATCTTTTTGTAATTCGCCACGGTGTTGTGGTTTGTCTCATCTGTGTATATGCCCCAAATATCAATTATGCATATTCGTTCATCCGTTCATCCACCTCGACGATTGCAATGTCAACTCAAGACAAGGAATGTGTTTGTTCGTTATCGAGTCAATACCATTGTTGCGGCTGTTGCTTTTGCACAAGATACAACACAAGTACCAGTTGATGCGCCAGCCAGGGACCCATCATTTTAGTCTTCCTGCCCAGGGCTCCTGCGGCTTTCAATGGAAGACCCGACCCCTCCATTAACACACCGGAGGTGGTTGGGGGTCTCAAAACCTGGCTGTTTGAGGGCCCAAGAAACATGGGGAGTTTCTGGGTGATCTAATTCGTTGGGTCAAGGCCGCCAAGAAAACAAGGAGCCACATTCAGGCGCAGCGCCTATTCTGGGGATTTGGCTGGGTACTTGGGGATCTTGACAGAAGATTCACGCGGCGGCATCGCGAACCTATGGAACATCGTTCCCCTGTTTGTACCCCTCTTGAGGCTGGCTCAAAGGGCCGTCTGGATTTTGGAGCCCGCAGTAGTTCATTGAGTTCCATCTGGGCCGGCAAGGCCGAGCTCCCCGCCCAGTTTGTCCCCTCAAAAAATGAAAGGTCCAAGCCAGGGATTCTTTAAAGGTCAGGTTCTACTTATTTCTTTGAGGGTTCCGTTCCGAGTTGTTTTGGCAACATATTTTTGTTCAGTAGGGATACCCCAGCCAATGCCCCGAAGCCCTTTTCGGGTCCCCTCTTCCCCTTGAATTGGTCGCAAGTCCCGAGCTGAAAGACATGAGTGGAGACTGAAGGGGTCTCGATTTGTTTGAGGTGAGAAGGCCAAGAATCTTCGTCCCACGTACCACTATAGTAAGGAGAATTCCCATTTGCGTTCCTTTTGGTCGGATGTAACACTGGCCAACTACTTCGGATGGACAACATCCTGCACCAGTTAGGTGGTTTGTCCCAGTATTTGCGAATATGTATCCATCCCGGCTGGTGCTGGGATTTGCAGTATTATAGCCCAATTGCTCAGAAATCCGTTTCTGTCTTTTTTTGTTGACTGCTTCCCCATTACTCACTCCCTAAGTCCTTGACTATTAACTATTGGACTTAACTTTTGGAGAGAGACCATTTTCGCAGGACACAAACAGTTTGGTTGCTTTTGTCAGCCAATGCACTAGATGGGAAGCTAGTATCGTCAACCATGTGTTTGTTGTTGTGTTTGTGTTTCTTTCTTTTTTCGCGCATACGTATTTTGGATTTTTTTTTGGTTTCTTTTCAAAGCCACTCAGGCTCGCGGTATTCTCTATATAAGGGTATGTATGGAGTATGCAAGTGGGACAAATGAAGGGTACCCACGCGCAAGGGCCCATGAGATTTGGCCTCAGAAAAAGAAAGCGGCACCCACTCCGAAAAGACGAGCCCCAAAAGGGGTTTCCCTTTGGTTCATCTTCCATTAGGTTAAGAATACTCTTTTATTTTCCCCTGTGGTTTTGAAGGGAATCGATTTCACTACTGGAAAAAACAACAAAAACTAAATCCATGGGATGAAAAAGCACATGGAGGTCATGTGGCCAAAAGGCTCGGCCCGGGTTTCGGGCCAAAGCGTCGCCAAGGACGGGCGCCGCGGTGCCGGGAAAGTCGCGGCCCTGCTCAGCGGGCTCGCCGGGGGGCCCAAACTTGACTGCTATGGAGTTGGACGGTGCAAAATACCACCACCCACTTTGGGGGCTCCCGATCTCCAAATGCACCAGTTTGTGCGAGGTCCAGTTGCGACCTTCAATTTTGGAACGACCGCCTTGGTCGAGTCTGACTTGGGCAGACCAATCTGCGAGGGACTTCCAGAACGCAAGTAAGGTGAACAACTTGCTGGTTCTCAGTAGGGAATGACCCAAAGGGGTTGGCGCTTGACTGCTATTGGGGAACGGATCTTTAGACTTCAACTTTTTGGGTTGAATTCAAGTTGTGTTTTCCACTAACCCCCATAAAAGTTGTAAGCTTTTTGCAGGGGGGTCCACCAATTAACATGCAACCTGACAGGGGCCCAGTCCCTTTAAAAGGAACAAGGTCCAAACAAGGACCCCAAAACGACGAGCAGTTCGATGTGTTATTGGTGGGAGGAGAATCTCATTTCACACTTTCATTTGCTTTTTCACCCCCCGGAAAAATGAGAAACTATGTTGTGAAATCGATTCCCTTTAGGAACCAACAGGGGGAAATAAACAGTATCCTTGAGCGAAAGGAAAGCTGATGTTCAGTGACACTGGGAAAAAAGTGCACCCTTTTTGGGGAACACCATTTTTACTGGGGCAGCCACCAAACAAAGGGGAAAATAATTGGTGCCACTGAACAACTGAGCATTTGAAAGCTGGGTGTGGAAAGGGATGTCTGGCAATAACAACAGGAAGTCTCCCCTGAAAGACTGCAATAATCTCTCATGGTAACGGGGCTGAGGTTCTGCCCGTTTTCTTCGGGGAAAGTCCAACCCCGGCCCAACTTGCGCAGTCCGCTTGGTTGCTGGCAGGGAAGGCACACATAGATAGATACATCTATGTATATATGTATATATATATATACATAAAAGTATGCCCTTGTCCTGTGTTGCCAATCGCACTCTCTGCTGCATCAGCTTCTATTCGATGTTTTGGGAGCATACAGAACAGGTCAGCATCCTGATTTGCGGTTTGGAGCCCGGTGGTTTGGCAAGGGTTGTTTTCGCAAACCTCAAGAACCAGAGGTTCAAACCCATCCAAACCACCAACTCAGGTATACCTGAGAGAAGTTCCAACTCTTTGTAGTAGTGCAAGCACACTCCAAAAGGAGGCCAAGGTCACACCAGAGACCAGCCACGGTGAATGACTTCGACAGGAAGACCCCACCAAGCAGAGCAAGCTGTACACGTGTCTGTTTCATAAAAGGGAACCACCTCCCCAGACGCTGTCAAGACATTCTGCGGCTACCATAGTTCAGCCATGGTTCCCAGTTTTGTTGGTCTGCTATAAAGGGAAATGGCAGCACTCAGGAAGTGAGAAACTGGGGAGAAATCAACTGTGCTCCCCAAAAGGAGAATCCTCAGCATGGATGGCCTTTTGGGTTACATGTTCATTTGTAGGGGGGATGACCAGGCAAAGCCTAATCAAAGAGCCTCACATAGCTACAAAAACGGGTTTTGTTTTGCAAGCCCCATCAAAGAATCTGGGGGTTTGGTGCTACAAGCTGCTACAGTTTGGCAAACCAAGCAGCATTGACTTTTGGGCCACTCCACCTAAGAAACAAGACATGCCCAAATTCGTGTATGAACTCCAGGTAGAAATCATTTGGAGGTTCGCCTCCATGACTGATGTGGTTTCAACTCTGCAAATTTAAAGCCAACTCCGATTCGTGTGCATCGATCCGGCTCTCTTGAGACCAGCCGTGTGGCTCAAATTTTGTAGAGAACTTTTGGCGCCATGCGACGGATCTTGGGGCTTCTGCCTTTGGCGGCTGCGGACTGGGGCGCCTCCACAAAAGGCACCAAGGTTCTCCTGACAGAGGCGGGAGGTGAAGGGAATCGATCGCTGGAAGTATTCCAGGGGTTGCTTCCTTTTCCATTCTTTTCAGCCATCGTTCTGTTCAAAATCCGGCCATTTCCCCAGGGTTCTGGTGGTTGTCTAGAAAGGACGAAAAGGATCCCTGGAAACACTATGGGGAAGTTACCCCTGGAATTGTGTGCAGAACATGGTGGTGGCAAATAGGGGGGCAAAGACAGGCAAAATGTGATCGGGGCATCCACTGTAGCACTTTTTTTGGCGGGTTCAACAAATCTGGACCAGAATCAACTAGCTGGTTGCTTGCAACTCTAGCGCCTGCAAGCGTGATTGGGTCACACTATTTGCATGTGCGTTGTGGGTACCCTTCTTGGATTGGACAAAAGAGGAACTAAAGGAACCACCACCCATTTTGAGGGCTCCCGATATCAACATACACCAATTCGTGCGAGGTCCGGTTCGCATCAATCGCCAATCGCCAGAAACCAAACGTTTTCTGATGCCAGAAACGCACAGGTTTTAGCGGCCTGGTGTTGAGCAGGGAATGACCCCTATAACCAATCCCTGGTGGTTTTCTTTGAGGGGATCCCGAAACGGTTCATTTCCAACCTTGGCTGGCAGGACCCCCCTGCAAAAAGTTTGCAACTTTTTTGGGGCTTAGCAGAAAACACCTTTATTTCCCACAAAGTTAAAGTCTAAATATCCAACCCAGTAGCAGTCAAGCGCCAACCCCCTTGGGTCATTCCCTACTGAGAACCAGCAAGTTGTTCACCTTACTTGCTCAGTTCTGGAAGTACCTCGCTTGAGATTGGTCTGCCCAAGTCCGACTCGACCAAGGCGAGCGATGCGCGATTGGTAGCACGGTGCGTTTGGGAGGCTCACAATGAACCACGGTGCCCTTTTTCATGGTTGTTGTTGGGAAACGTGTTTTGCTTTTTAGTTTTTTTTTTTCTTATTGTGGTTTAGTGGTTCAAATCCAACCACATAACAGCTAAAATTTAAACGTTTGCTCCCCTTCCAACGTCAGCCAAGTTTTAGGTTAGTTTGATTTAAATTGAATGGCACTGGTTCAGATGGGGTTGTTCCATTTACCAGGGAAACCCATCTATTTTTCCAAAAGGCCACCTATGCTCACAAGACATGTACAAAGATGTGCGCGTTGGTGTCAAATGAATGGTGATTTGAATCATAAATGCATGGGTTGGTTGTCAATCTGGTGCATATATGCTTCATGCACTCTTCCTGCATATGCTTCATTGGGTGTGTCTTTTTTAGGGGGCTCCCTTTTGGTTGCAAAGGGAATGCAAAAGGAAACCAGCCTTTGGGGGGGAGGAGGGGGGCTCCCCTATTTTCAGGCAAAGCCATGTGGGGGGCGTGGCGAAGCGCCCGGAAGCACTGCTCAGGCAGCGGCGGATGGGGCGGTTTGTTTGGATGGCTCTGCGCCAGCCTACTACATCGCGCCAGGCCTCGCTCAAGGTTAACTTCGAACCACTAAGTGCCAGGTGATCCCCACCCCCTTAAATATAAAATTGGGGGAGGGGAGCTCCCCCTTATGGTAGGGGGGATTCCAGGTGCCCATCCACGGAAGTTAAACCATGACCCCAGTTTTTCAGGGTTTCCGAGCCATTTCCTGTTTTATGAACCTCCTACAGTGGCAATCGTTTCCATGGAAACCAGCACTACATTGATCAACTTTTGCTTTGGGGAATCTAGTGACTCCTGTACCACGAATGGGGACCCCGGATGAATAAACCTCAGTTTTTCAATAGAGGGGTTTCCCGGGTGAAATGTGGGATTCAGACCACTAATTGAGGGGAACACGAACACCACCGTATTGTCTAGTACAGGTTGATAAATCTAGGGTCAACATTCCCCCCCTATACAGTCACTTTCTGAGTAGAACATCTCGAATTTCGTCTTCGGTCCTGGTTTCGGGGTACTGAAAAACCATAGATCGAGGCGTGGCCGTCACCAAAGAGCACCAGGGCACCCACCTTTCAAAGTGAATGACTCTCACCGCACTTCCCGGGGTCCAGGTGTTTTTGCCAAAGGGCCCAACAGCAACGCGTTTGAAGGCACAAAAAACACACCACTGGGAATCCCAGATCTTACCAGGGAGGTTTACACATATGCGGGAGCTTGGAGCTTGGCCACGGTGGCGGGACAAAGAACGACTTGATACTTTTTGAGTTTGGTTGCCATTTCAGTGGTAAATACAACGTTTTGACTTTTTTGGGCCAGTCCACTCAGGAAGGGAGTGACTGGCCTGATCAAGTTGGGCCCGCTGGGTGTTTCCATGGTGCTTCCCCAAGAGCCATGTATGACCTCTGTGTTGGCAATGTAGTAGGTTAGAAGGGCGTTCTGTTCGGGGTGCGACTTCGTTGCAGCGCTTTTTTGGGAGGATGACTTTGAGCACAGACTTGTGGCGGCGTGATTTGCAACAATGTCTGGAATCACTTGGATGCCCCAACCCCAAACAACCAGGAGTTTATGAAGTGACAAGCCCCCTGAAATTAATGACGGTCATCGGCCCCTTAGGGATTTCAGACATTCAGCTTGAGGGAAGGTTTTGTTCCTGAGGCCAGTGTTCTTTTGGAAGCCCAGGATTTAAACTTGGGAACACACACCCAAACAATCCACTGAAAAAAATATTTTGGCTATGAACTTTCATAAGTTGAAACCCTCCCAAATGGTTGGTGGACTAGCATCGCAATCATGTCCCACCACTCACTGGGTTCCTGGACTGCAGCCAACTGCAGTGCTAAGCAACAAGACCTTTTCGGGTCAATCCACTCGATCGGGAGTGAGTCCAAAGGGCCCCCTATGGAAAATTCATCCATCCATCATCCAACGCGCCATCCATCCATCCACCCATCCATCAATGCATTCACACTCAGGGACGAACCACACGCGTCATGCCCTTGTCATTGACCAGTCTTCCTTTTGCAGGCAGTGGCGATGGTGCCAACAAGTGGTGGCCTGGACGCACGTCGTATTCCTCTAGGGGTACCTTCCCCATTCTTTCCAGGGATGCTTCTTTCTAAAAACACCTCAATAAACGCAGAAAGCAGCCGGTTTTTGAAAAGAACGCAAACCCTAGAATTCCCCTACAATTAAATGGGCGGAAGGAATCTCAA